GGTGAGAACATAAATACTGACCTGTTTAATGTTGCCTTGCGGTTCCGGGAAAATGAAGTTGGTATGATCGCCGACATCAGCAAGATGTTTCAAGCTATAAAAATCAGACCAGACGATGCTCGCTTTCATCGGTTTGTATTTCGAGAGAATCCTAGTCATCCCATCCAAGTGTATGAGTTGACAACTGTTACATTTGGAGATAAGCCTTCACCGACTGCTGCCATCGTGACCTTGAGACATGTAGTATCTGAGCATGCACCTGGTGATGATCAGCTAAAAAGAATTGTGGCTGACCAGTTTTACATGGATGACCTCAATGAATCGGTTGTTGATGCGAATGAGGCTTACAAGATAAAGTCTAAACTTACCGAGACCCTGAATAAAGGAAAATTTGCTATAAGAAAATGGCAATCTAATGTACAGAATTTGTGTGACAAATCAGAAGATAAAAGTGCTGCCACTGCTTTGGGAACCAGGTGGGACCTTGTGAACGACACATTAAAGGTCAAAGAAGTAAAGCCGATGCATGGACTTGTCCCAACCAAGCGTAATATCTTAAAGCAAACCGCCTCTTACTATGATGTCTTCGGAATGCTCTCTGGTATTCTTGTTCGACCAAAGATTCTTCTACAGAAACTATGGCAGCTGAACCTTGATTGGGATACCCCACTTAACCAAAAATGTGAGCTCTGTGCTATATTGAACGAGATCAATAAAGATCTTGAAAAAACAACTAACATTGAAATTCCTAGATGCCTCATTCCAGAGCCTTTCAAAGGAGTAAGACCTTTGCCGGAAGTATCTCTACATGGTGCGAGCGATGCCTCAGAAGATGCCATGGGAATTGGAGTGTGGCTGAGATGGTCTCATCCTGAGATGACTGTGGCTTATCTGTCGTTTGTGTGTGCACGGGCCAGACTAACACCACTTAAGCAGTCAAGTATTCCACGAAAAGAGCTTCAGGCAATTCTGCTGTTGTCAAGATTAATGCTTACCGTAAAGAATGCTTTAAGGTTCAACATAGCATACTCAAGGATCTGGACAGACAGTATGACTGCAGTTAGCTGGTTGAGAGG